CATCAGCTAAAACAACAGTCACCGAGGAACCCACTGGAACGCCTACGACTTGTGGGAGGTTTGAATCTGGCTTGCATATTTCAAACTGTTACCATTCATCACATGGCCAAAAATTGTCATTAAATCATCCAGGCTGCAATTCTTAGCACGCTTTCAGACACCATCCACTCGTCCATCGTGTTCTTCAAGATGTTGGATATAATATTAACCAGCGTGTTAATTTTCACATTATCGTAAAGAACGGTGAAGTCATGAAACAATCTTGATTATCATATTCCTTCTGTCTGAATAAAAGTTCGTTTCTGTCTTACTGTAATACTCTGTAAAGCATCACATTAACGGCAGATTTCAGTAATCCATCAAGCTCTTTGGCAAATCCTATCATGCCTTGCCTATTCAAAAATCCTTTAATCTTATTGTGTCAATTTTCGCCACGAAAAGAGAGGCAAGATTTCGAACAACAACCAGCCAGGGTGCAAGTGCGATGATGTATTTTTTGTAGATTAAGCAAATCAATCATCTACACGTCATAATTAGACTTTTATTAGCCTAACGTAATGAGAAAAGTACAACTACATATGAGCAGAGTATTTGCTAACACTCTATTGAAAATAAATCAATAATTTCAGCATTCAGATTTGTACCATTACATTCATGGATACTGTGGCCTCACAAAATTATTTCGATAAAATCACACAATCGGCAGCAAGGATCAGAAGCTTTCCTTCTGGCTTCACGTACACCTTTGACTGCGAATTGCAAAACAACTTCAAAAGTCATTAATCATCCTGTTTAATTTGAAGAAAGCCCATGAGACAAGAGCTGAAACGTTTGAAAAGGTCAAATTGTTCAACTTGCTTGCGATCTGAATACACAATTCGTATTTAATGTGTCTGAAAATAAATACAATGAAGCTGCTAATTAAACATTAATTTTCATCACTAATTCAAAGCATAAATTGCTACTACGTGCATACTCATAAGCATAAAGAATGCCGACGATTCTCATATAATAGCCAGACTTCTCAGGGA